AGTGGATATGAGATTGATGAACCAGGTTTGTCTTTGTGAATCCAGCCCCAATTGAATGCTTCTCATTGCCATAAAGAAGAATTGTATTGTACTCCCTCTATCCGAATTTAAGTTACCCGTTGTTCCCATCTAAGTTATTTGTTGCTCTTTGCGATGATTGTCTGACATTATTTTCAATTTAATTTATTTCAAAATTGATAGAAAATTAAAAAATAAATTTATATATTTAAAAACTACATCAAAAGAAGATTTGGTCTTTGATCGTCACTCAACTTTTATACTCTAGAACTTACATTGTGATGGGAAGTTAAACTTAAGCCTCTGCAAGTTATTAGGAGAGCCTTTTTTATGCTGATTTCACAATCTTCCCAGACCATACTATTCTCTGTAGAGGTAGTGGTAGTGTGCTGTGCTGCCCATTCATTAATTCTGGAGTGTAAAGATTCTCTTCCAAACCAGAGAATTTGTGACCATCACCTCCTTGATGATGTTGTTTTAAAGGTGTTATTTGATACCTCCATAATTAAATCATTAAATTCCAGAAATAAATTGTGTTGTGTGTTACGCATGATCAAACTTTAATCACTTTATTTATTTACTCCGTATTTTTTTGTTATTCATTTCATAAATGATATAGTTATGTCACATCTTATTTTTTAGAAACCACTGATGTACTTCGTAATTTTCAAATATATAAATTTTAATTTTTAATTTCACACCATTTTTAAATAATTTAATTTGAAATAACTTTATCAAACATCGTCCAGACCCTACTGTAGACCCTACTGTAGTGGAATCCAACTGGGTTGTTTGTTTGTTTTTATCAAACATCGTAAACAACATCAGAAAACTTAAAATTGGATGGATGGAGTATATTAATAGTCGAAGAATTACATTATAAAATATATTTTTGACACTAAATTTGAGGCGGAAGACATAGTATTTAAGTTGAAAATTATAGAGGCCCTAAAACATATTTTCACACAAGGTCTTTTACAATGTTTCTCTTATCAGGGCCGACCAAGGGAATATCGTTCAATATGAGTGCTAAGCACCAAACATGGTTCAACACAAGTGCTTGTCACCAAGAATGACACATTGCAAAGGTAAATCTAAGACATAAACTCTACATCGTATATCTAGCAGTGTAAGTGCAAACTAGATCAGGTCAAGCTTTTTGAGGAGCAGATGAGTATTTAAGAATGGCGGAAAGTATCCTCTCTTTATCTCGTGTCGGAAAAGCTTCGAGTAGGACTCCATTTTTATACAAGTGAAAAAGGGGCACCGTCTGCATCATATTGGAAAGCTCTCACTTTAGAATCATGAGATAGATGAAAATAATATACAGTATATATGTTTGTATACAGAAGCGCAAAATAAACTATTGACTCACATGATAGTATAGTCTTACCCGTATACGCAGCCGTTCAGCAACCTCAGATTGTTCATCATACTCATCAAGCACCTAGGGAATTAAAACAGTTTCTGTTATGACGTTTAAAACATTTCATGTCTCTTCTATAGATTCCCAAATAATCCTTCCCTACCTTAGCAGCTCGCAATTTCTTTTCTGAAATTGACCCTACCAAATCTCCTTATACTCAATGTACACTTGCCTTGACTAGTGGATATTGTGGAGGGGAGGCAATGTTGCGTAGCAGCGTTAGAAGCAGATGGTATACGATGAACGTGAAGAAGACTTGAGTAGATGACATTGCTAACCCCCAGATAGCAGAGGACTGGTTCAAGTTCATCATACCACCAACATTAACCTTCACCTAGGCACTAGGCCTCCAAACATTTTACAACTTGCTATGTCCCATCAAAAGAGTCATGTTTGACCAATGCACAACTTCTATACAGGACTATCTGTTCGTAAGTTGTAACGACTCGCAGTTTGTAGAGGAGCTGTTCTTCACACGGAAGATCAACTATACGAATTGAAGGTAAGGTCTCTACTTTCAATTCTTCATCTTTCAACTCCAATCTCTCCATTACAGAATCTAAGAGAAATAGGAAAGCAACTATTTTGATTGGCGCAAATCTATTTGAAGGCAATAAATCTATTATCATTTCATATATGGTGATACGGATTGAACTCTTTTGGCAGATATCTCACAATTTCGGAAAAAAATGGGACAGAACCACACAATTTTTTCCCCGAAGGCAGAGGTTCTTATAAAATGAAGGCGACCAAGGGAAGCATAATGAAGACTAAGATAGGTCCATTCATGGAAGAATACTCACATTGTGTTTCAAGAAAACAACAGGTGATTGTTGATCTGCAGATCCTTTGCATAGCTTTGAGAAACCCTTTTCTATGTACTTGCAGCTGCCACAAGAGGAGCGGTAGAAGTCTACCACAACCAGAGAGCCAGTTTTCTTTGCCTTGTCCATTATCCTCGCGAACTCCTCTTCCCTCTTAAATTCTCTCACGCAATCGACCGGACAACAGTCTTCGTGGTCTTCATCCTCAAACAATCCATCAACACTTCCGTTTATTACAGTCTGCATCGACCTAACTCCATCATAGCATCTTATCTCAGCATTTGGAAGTCTACCAAACACACCTCCTGCCTTCATATGACAAGATCTAAAGGTGGGCAAGATTGATCCAGCTACAAACCCTAGTTTATCAGCATGAATCAGGATGTTTCTGGCAAAGCCGAAAGGGGAAGGGGCCTTCCAGGCAAGAACACCCTGGCTTTGCATGAGTGCAACAAAGGAAAGCAGATTTTGCGCAATAATCAACCTTTACCATCCGTAGATTATTCCATGATTAAACCCTTGTGGGTGAAGTGAATTTGATTTCCCCTCTCACATGTCAAATCGCCTATTTTCCTCAGTCAAATTTATCATGCCATCCAATGGGCAGCAACAATAATGGCCACACCCATTGAATTGAAACATGAAAATTTTATTACTCCGTATTTAGAGGAACAGATTATCGAACTTTCCCCGATTGAATCTATGTTTCATGCTAGTGAGTCCAACTTTTCTTACATGACTTTAATATTGGGCTAAACACCACCATTAATCAATTGTGCACGATTGGTTCTTCAAGTTTTAAAAGTCCATAAATAGTCCTTTAACTTTATGAGTTATGCACGATTGGTCCTTCAAATTTTAAAAGTGCATAAGTAGTCCTTCAAGTACACGTCAGCCCTCCAGATGAGGTCCTTTTGACAGTAAATGTTAAAAGCTAAATGGAATACTAGCTCCATATAATACGGAGTAGTCGTACCTAGTGGAATTTACTCGTATTATATGAAACTAGTATTTCGTTTAACTTTTAATATTTACTATCAAAAGGACTTCATCTGGAGGGCTGACGTGAACCTGATGAACTACTTATGGATTTTCGAAACTTGAAGGACCAATGGTGCAGAACTCATAAAGTTGAAAACTATTTATGGACTTTTGAAACTTGAAGGACCAATCGTGCATAACTCAAAAAGTTGAAGGACCAATGGTGAATTTTAGCCTTAATATTGTGATTTCTTACATGTTTTATATGCTCAAAAATTCCATATATAGAGTAAATTCCATATATGCTCAAAAATTATAGAGTAAATTCCCAAAATAGTCCTTTGTAATAAGGTGTTTTTTCAATTCAGTCCTCAATAAGTTTTAATTACTTACGCGATCCTCTATAATTGAGATTTATTCCCAAAATGGTCCTTTGTAAATAATGTTACTCACATGAGGATTAATTGAGGGTATTTTGGTATTTTTTATACGCTAAATTTAGAATTAATTATTAAAATGATCATTTATAATGAAGTGCTTTCCCAAAATGATTTTTTCTAATTAAAGATGTGTATTTGATTTGAAATTTAATTTTTTTTATAAGTTTTGTATAATTCATTAATTATTTATAGTCAATGTATTTTTTTCAATTTTACATTTACTTGTATAGAAATAACTGTTTCGAGAATATACATTAAATTTGGATGATCAAAATACCAAAATATCTTCCAATTAATCATTATTTGTGTAACATTATTTACGAAGCACTATCTTGGGTATAAATCTCAATTATAGAGGACCATGTAGGTATTTAAAACTTATTGAGAACTGAATTGGGAAAACACCTTATTACAAAGGACCATTTTGGGAATTTACTCAAAATTATATGTAGTTCTTTATATTTACTCCCGGGTTATAAAATATTTCATAAACAGTCTGAAAATTATTCCACAAATAGTCCTTTTCACCAAATATTACAATATATTTTGAATAAATTTTAAAAATGATCTTTTCTAATAAAGTTTTCCCCCACCCATAGTAATTCTCAATAAACAAAAGTTACTAACGCAGTCCTTTATTGTTTCTTAAATAGTCTTTTATCAAAAATGTCAATTAAATGATAGTTAAATGGAGGATACTTTGATACTTTGATAGTCAATTATAAGATATTCCATAAAAAAGTCTTTATTATTAGTTTAAATAATAAAAAGAATCAAAATATCCTTTATTTAACTCTCATTTAATAGGTATTTTTGATAAAAGACTATTTAAGAAACACAGTTCAATTATAAATGAACATGTTAGTAAATTTTTCTTATTGAGAATTTGATACAGAAGATGAATTATATTATTTAATTAGTTATTTATTAATTAGTAGTACTATATAGGTACTCATGATTAGGTTTTAGTATGAGGCTCAAGCCCATTAGGTTAATTAGAGTTTCTCGTATCTCTATATATTGTACTCTCGTATTATTATTATTCAAGCAATAAAGAAATATCAAACCCCTAATCTCATTCTCTATTCTCTTGGAGCCCGAAAACGCTCAAAGTTTTCCATCTTTCTTTACTTCTTCTCATTGGAGCTTGAAGAACGCTCGAAGTTCTTCTCTATCCGATACGATATTCGTATCAATTGGTGCTTTCATTGAGATATCTTCCAAAAAAACAAAAAAAAACAAATCATCTGTAAACTCAAAGGGCGATTCAACTCCAACCTTGGCCAGATCTGTTGTCGTCTGCCATTTTGATTTTTCACCACCTACCCCACTTCAATTTTGATTTAATTTAGAAAAGGTTGTGCTTGTGAGACAGATTCATTGCCGCCCACCCGAATTTGCTTCACTGCCGCGCCCCTCGTCGCTGCCGTGAATCGCGAACAGAGAGTCAAATTGCTGGTGTGCCTGGAGAATTGGGAGGCTTTAGATACTTCGGATTATAAGGAGCAATCTATTGGGTTTCCATCCATATTATCTAAGCAGCTTCCAGGTTCTCTTGATTTGCACAACGACAAGCACGAAAAAAAAGAGAAGGCTTTGCTGCAATTTGGAGTGCCAGCACAGTAAATTGGGAGATACAATTGGAGCCCTTTGAGATACAATTGGTGCGGCCCACTCGCACTTTTGAGTAATATTTCGGCCCACTAATTTGATTGTCAAAATTGCTTGGTAAGTGACTTTTCTTATTTGGTTTTTGTCACCATTAATTCTCTGTGCGAGGAGTTGACATGATGGTTGACTCCTATATTTCATTGACGATCAGTGCATTAGACAAACTTGTTGGATTGTTGGAAAATATTTTTTATGGGGAAATTGAGCATGACGAAGTAGTGTGTATGATTTTTGATCACGTGTATGAACTTATTAAGAAGCTCAGGTCGATCCGTCATTTTGAAGGTCAAATTAATTATGATGCACTCGACAAAGAAATCTTTTGCTCAGTCCAGGATTTGGTCCGTGGACCTCCAACTCTGCCAAGTCAAATTCCTTTAGAATTACAAACCCAAAAAAAAACCAAAAAAAAACCAAAAAAAAGAAAAGAAAAGAAAAGAATTGCTCGCCGCCACCGCTGCATCTCCATCTGCAGAAATCAGGCATCGCCGCTCAAATTCCTTGGTCTGTCGCCGCTTAGGCTTCCTCCGATTTAATCGCTGCATAGTTCTGCTCACTCCATCAAGTATGGTGGCCAACACAATTTTGGTTTATTGATATGAAGCAAGTGATTGGGCCGCCACACTAATTAACTTGGTAACAAGGTTAGTGCGCCACCAAATTGCTCGACTAATTTTTTTTTTTCATTACAAACATTGCTACTATAGTGTGTGTGAATTGTCCCGTACTTCAATCAATCAATTGGTCACTACCTCCTTTGTTCCAATAAATTTGGCCATTTGGAAAAGAAAAAAAACTACTGCAACCCTCAAGCAAGTCTGCTCCGTGCTCACTCATCATATCGAAGCAGCACAAGAATTTTGGCAGTATATTATGTTCTACTTCATCAAGTTTGGACGCTACAGTTGAATACCAAGCAGCAGTGGGAGTTTAGCCCTTGGTAAGGTAATTCAAAAATGAATACCTTTACTCACTCTTTGACTAAAATGCATCAAGATTTTTCTTTTCGGTTGGAGACCCGATTCAAGCGATTAGAGACTTTGCTTATGTGTACTTGTACACTCGACAAACTTACTGATTTGCTAGAGATGGTTTTATATGGAGAACTTGAGCACGACGAGGGAGTGTGTGCCCTTTACGATCACATAGACGAAATTATAAAGAATCTCCAATCATTTCGTAATATTGAAGGTCAGTCAAATTATGATTCTAACTTACACACATTTGACATTGAAATCTCTTGCGCGATACAAGATTTGGTCCGTGGGCCCCCAATTTTGCCGTGTTTGATTCCTTAGGAGTTACAAAAGTTTAAAGCAGACATGTTGGGCTCTATAAAAATTCTCATCGATACTCCATTTTCTGCGCCAAATCTGGTCGCTGCAGTAATTGAGCAAAACGCTGAAGCACATGATCAAGCATCCAAGGAGGAATCAAGCGTTGACTCACAAGTTGGAGATCAAGTGGATATCGGGCCTAAAGCCATAATCAAAGATAACGGGAGTGATAGACAATGCGTGTAACTCTAGAGGGGGGGGGGGGGGTGAATAGAGTTGTTGAGAATGTTTACCGTTTTTCGCAGGATTAATAATATCAACGTAAGTGTAGCGGAAAATAAAAGAGAGAAGGCAAAGAACACACCGATGTATACTGGTTCACCACCTCGTGGCTAGTCTAGTTCCCCGAGAGACTCTCTCGAAGCTACCACTACTTCCGTTAAGCTTACAGGTGCTTAACAAACCGTTTACAACTCGAGAACTTGAATCCCACAAGCCTCGACACAACCGCTCGTAGATATGCCCTCTACAAGACTTCACAACCAAGACTTAAGTCACATAAGTCTTGAACAATAATAAGAACAATCTTCTTCAACCTCACAACAATAACTCTCACAAGAGTAGAAATGAGAAAAGATTAAGCTCTATGAATGACAAGAACACTCTCTTGAAAACACTTAGTTTTCTCTCAAAATATATCAATTTGAGAAATGAATGGAGGATTATAACCTCAAGATTGGGGGAGTTTAGGAGTGCTTGTTCATAGTAAAAATGACCAAGGAGTGAAGTTTATAAAGGGGTTGAAGAAATATATCCGTTGGTCCAAGAAAAGAAGCTGGGATGAAAAATGCAGCATAATAATCGATTAATGCACTGACAGTAATCGATTAATGCAGTCTGCGAAGAGAAGGATAATCGATTAATGGAAGATAAAAAATCGATTAGTCGGCTCTGCCAGCCTTAATCGATTAATAGAGGGGCAAAAATCGATTATTAGCCAGCCCAGAGGAAATCCAACGATAAACAGTTAATCGATTAAATTTGGAAGATTAATCGATTAATAAGGAAATAATGCGCAAACACAAAGGGCCCAAGGCCAGTTGCGATTGAGAGTGAATTGGCTCAAACTCGTTGTTTGAGACAAGAAGAATCAGGGAGCGCTCCTCCTGAGAATAAGTTACTTAAACTTATTCCCTCATTTTCACTCAGGTTTTTAATAAAACACACAGTTTACTACATGTGCTTTTTATAAACTTATTTTATAAAAACGAATGGTTTTTATAAAATATTATAGTTTTATTTATAAACTATTTTGTTTGACACACTTTTTGTAACTGACTCAATAAAACTATTTTGAACAGTTAAAAGGACTTTTCAACTGACTCCAAAAATAAATATAATTTTTATTTTAACTCTCATAAAAATAATTTTGGAGAGAAGATATTTTTGTCATCCTTACAATAGTTCCTAAGCCTCAAATAAATAAAATATCTTCAGAAATCTTCTACTCCTCCGAGTCCTCTGTTAGGCGCTCCACACGCGTCTTGGGCTCCAATAAAATCTTGTGCACCTTCTTGAATACTTCAAGGAATGGCACTTCAAGTCTTCGTGTTTGTCGTTGTAGCACTTTGATCTTGACTTCAATAAATTGTGTTTGTCAATTATCAAAACCTGTGAGTCAACACTTAACAACACAGAAAGGGTTGAACTCATGCATTCCAACAGGGAGGTCCAATGTTGTGGGGAAAAATGAAGGTCCTCTTGCAGAAGATGTTGCTAATATCGACAAGCCAGATCCTTCTTTTCAGGAATTTTATACCTCAGCTGGTGTGGTCATTGCAGAGTATGATATTCCAAAAAGTGTTGCCAAAGTGACAGATGCAGATGGTAAACAAGTGCGCTCACCTATTTTGATTGACACTATTAAGTTAATCGACATTGTCAATGCGATCAAGACGGAGCACCTGGTTTCACCTAGAGCACATAAATATGCTACGTGTCTTGTCTCATATTTCCATTACTTTGCTGCACGAGCCAAGCTGGTTCAAGATTCAAAGAGTGGACGGCTCCTTTGGTTCAACATTCTTTCCCCAGTCATAAAGCATGAGTGGGAGCCTCCACCTTGAGGACAAGGTGGTTTTCTAAGGGGGTGAGAATGATACAGAAGATGAATTATATTATTTAATTAGTTATTTAGTAATTAGTAGTACTATATAGGTACTCATGATTAGGTTTTAGTATGAGGCTCAAGCCCATTAGGTTAATTAGAGTTTCTCGTATCTCTATATATTGTACTCTCGTATTATTATTATTATTCAAGCAATAAAGAAATATCAAACCCCAAATCTCATTCTCTATTCTCTTGGAGCCCGAAAACGCTCAAAGTTTTCCATCTTTCTTTACTTCTTCTCATTGGAGCTTGAAGAATGCTCGAAGTTCTTCTCTATCCGATACGATATTCATATCACAATTACTTTGGGAAAAAACCTTACTAGAAATGATCATTTTGAGAATTCACATAAAATATTTTGTCATATTTGTGGAAACGACTAGTTGTGGAATAGTTTTCAAAAATTGAGAACTATTTATGGAATATCTTATAATTGAGGACTAAATACGGAAAATTACATATAATTGTGGACCATTTATGAAATTTACCCTTTTTTGCTTTTTTAAAATGACGTTCTGATTACAATTTTATTTTTTCTCCCTTCTTGATAACTTTTGTTTGGTTGTGTTTTTATTGATGATATGATAAAATAAAATATTCTTGTCACCTCTTTTTTTGTAAAACTTTTGATGTAATTTTTTAACATGTAATTTTTATTTGTTATTGATGTATCAATTAGTAAATAAAATGATTTTAAAAATTATGAGATTTTACATCGTAATTCCCATTTTGTAATCAAAATAGAGACGGGGAGAGTATTATACAGCCAATTGTACCCAAGGTTGGGTACAGTCGGTAAAAGGAAAGGAAAGATGCAGGGTGACGATCAAAGAACTTCAGCGAAGGAGGAGAGGAGCAAATGATGGGAGGGCGACGATCGAAGAAGTTTGGCGAAGGAGAAGATGAGCAATTGAAGGGAGGGCGACGATCGAAGAAGTTCAGCAAAGGAGACACACATAGACAATAGAGGGAGGCGCTCCGTTAGCGGCCGATGACGTTATCAAGGAAACACTAGATGTTTGATTCGGATAGGTAGGAGAAAAAGAGTGAGGGCTATTAACTGCTGGTATAAATTTTATTACGCTTGAGAATGTACAGTATTTTATTTGAGCATGAGCACCAGTTTGTTTTAGAATGAGCACTACGTTATTCGTAGATGAATATTATAATTGTATTAGATAAATGTGCGAAAATGAGTACTACGTTATTTCTGAATAAATACTACGTTATTTTTGTAACACCCGCCTTCCGTGGACCCGGTTCACCCGCGACCCAACGGACCGGTAGGGTTACATGGGCGGTCCGAGAACCGTCCGTTACAAAAACATTAATGATTTTTAATGTGAAAACGGTTACGTTCGATTGATGGGATATTAATGACTATTTATTATGAAAACGTTTGTGTTTAATTGGTGTAATAAATGCTAGGAGTTAAATCCAAAACGTGAGTGATATAAATGTAGAGTAAAAGCGGAAGTAAATAAATGAGTAAAACGACAAATGGTGGGTTCATGCCCAAATGATTAATTAATTAAATGTATTTAATTATTGAACTTGTTCATGCGCCGCCCATCTTCCCACCATCACTGTCCTCCAGGGTTAGCACCTGCACCGTCATGTCTACCTGCGTGTAGCAAAAACAACTACACACTCAGCAAAAGCTGAGGAGTGAATCTAACAAAAGAACATGAAGTGATAACCCATATGGTTATACACATATAAATACATGTACTTAACGTACGGAAAACCACATGTTTGCTAACTGATTAATTTGCACTTGATGGGATATTATTACACATAACAAAATGAATAACAACCACATTGAATATGGACATGATGGAAATCATACATGATGATGACAACCACATTGAATGTTGACGTGACATGTAACATACATGATGACGGTATGACTTGATGCATGATACCCCTGACTTAGTCTCACTTTACAGGATCACCCCTGCACTCCGGTAATGAGCCGGGCTCGACAAAACGTCGCAAGTGAACTAGCAAAACTGGGTGGTAGCCGTAGCCTGACTACCATGTACGTACACAAAGCCCACCTGATGAAAACCTGTTGGATCCCAAAGGTTCCTAGACGGGCCCACTGTAGTAGGCGCACGAAAGCCTGACCTCCCTACAGCGGTATGCACATGATGATGACCCTAGGACATGCGTCTAGGATGAACATGATGAATTGAATGCATTGATTGAAGAATGAAATTAAATTCAACGCATACATATATGTTTGATTCCGTATGAAAACAATTTGTTCAACATGATGGCCTTAGGTTTAGAACTGGCTGATAATCGATTGTCTGTTGTTGATAATCGATTATCATGCTGTGCAGCTTCTGTCCCTAAAGTCCTGCAGACTGTGATAGTCGATTGTCACCTTATGAAAATCGATTGTCAAGTTGGTTTGTTCAGAACGTCCTAAGTTCAGAGAGCCCTGATAATCGATTAGCCTATGTGATAATCGATTATGAGGTGAACCAGCTCTGACTCAAGAATCCGCAGGGCCTGATAGTCGATTATCACATATGTGATAATCGATTATCACGCTGTGCTGAATCAATTGAGGAGTCCAGCGTGGCCTGATAGTCGATTGTACTATCCTGTAACTCGATTATCAAGGCACGCTGATTTCCATTTTATCTGTTTGCTTGCCATCAAAACGTTGGAGGTTTTAGAAACGTATGGTTGCATTTCCATGCTAGATAATCGAATAACTTACAAGGTTTCAAAATGTTTATATTAACGAGAACATAACTTGATAACATGGACACACGTATGTTGGATGGTTAACCTACGAACATGCATAGTTTCTACGTAGGTTGCGTACGATATTCCTATGAATATAACAACATAAATTATGACTTGATGTTCAAGAATTAGAGGAGACAACTACTCACCTCTAAATGAAGGGATTGACGGAACAATGAAACGAGATGAATGAATGACGTCTAACGAATGGACGAACGGTCAACGTACGGCTTCTCGTGTGAACTTCTTCCTTCCTTCCACCTCGACTCCTCGCCGGAATGTCTCCCTTCTTGCTGCTGCTTGGCCGAACCACCAAAAGGAAAAGGGAGAGGAAGTGTTGATGGTGTTAGATGCTTGTGTGGGAGTTACAAGTGATGAGGGAGATGGGTGGAGAGACGGGGGGTTTTAAATAATGGAGATTAAATGGGTGAATAATGGTGGATTAATTGGGAATGAATGGGGTGGTTATGGGAGATGAAAGGGTGTGTGGCGTGTGGTTCATAATTTGGGGAGTTACCTCCCTAAATTCCACTCTGTTGTGTAGAATTTGATCTGAACGGTACGCGGTTTTCCCCCCGAACGGGTCTGAATTGATATCTGTTTGTGTTTTCGGAATCAGACAGTCAAAACGAATTTAATGACATGTTCAAATAATTTTCCTAAGAACTTTTATTTTCAAACTTCCGGGTCCACCCCAATCATTAATTAATTTATTTAATTAATGTTGAGAGGTCCATTATTAAAACATCTTTTTATATTAAAATACATTAGCTTTGGAAAGCCATTTAAAGAGATCGAAATCTCAATACTTATTAATTTAAAATAATGAGTCTCAATAAATAAATAATATTTATTTATTTAAAACTAGGCCGGTTTGTAGGGCGTTACAATTTTAGAATGAGTACCTCGCTATTTCAAAATGAATACTTATGTTTGTGCGAAAACGAGTACTAGTTTACTTCAGAATAAATACTACCCGTTTGTACCTTACTTTTGGTATAACCGGCTGTACCATATACTTTTCCCATACTCAAAAGTTATAATAAATCAAGATAATTTATTTGTGGAAAATTAACTAAAATTTATATTTTAAGTTTAAATATAATAATATGTTCCACAAATTTTATTTATATTTTATAATATAAAATTCACATAAAATTATTATATTCGTAGAAAAATAGTAAACTACACAACACAACACCCACAAAGTTTTAATTTTATAATTACCATATAAATTATGATAACTTCTATTATAAAAAATTAATATACACCAAGATAATTTATTTGTAAAACTTAATTTTTAATAAACCAAGATAACATATAAATTATGATAACTTTTATCATCAAAAAATTTGAATTTTTAATTAACGTATAACTTTTATTATAATAAACTTAGATTACTTATTTTTTAAAAATAACTAAAATTAAAATATTTTTTGTTTTAATGAAAAAACCAATCTACCACCGTCCAAAAATTTGCTTAACATTTTCTAATTTTTTATTGACATATAAATTTAATAAAAAAAACACTAAATCACACAACACTACCTCCAAAAAATTTCTAATTTGTAAAACATATATAAAAATTATTATATTAAAAATAATATGAAAATACTGATGTCTTATTTTTATATTGGTACACATGTCATATTTAATATTATAAAAAATGTAAAACTACACCAAACTAATCGTCCATTTTTTATGATATTTAAATGATAAATAAATTGGGGAAAAAATTAAAATATGACTAAAACATAGCAAACATACCTAAATAAGAGTCTAAAATATAAATTCCCCAAATAGAAATAAATTATGGGATTGGGTCGGGCTTACAACTCCGAAGGCACATATCCATTTATCTTATAGAATGTTTTCAAAAAATACTTTGTTTCAAGAGTATCTCCTCTATATATATATATATCTATCTAAATGTGAAACCCAGTTAGGCACCCCTTATATTTTTGCACCTTTTCCATCCATAAAAGTTGTACGTTGTGCATTAGAGCTGGTACACAGTTAAATATTTCCTTTCTTGCCATTACGTCGTTGCTCGCCAGTAATTTACTTTCCTTTTGAGAATGACGCACGCACAGTTTCATGTGTGTATTGGAATTGGAGAGATTTCACCCTCTCTCCGTCTAGATGGATTTCAGGTGATTCTCCAAAATTTGCGCTGGCTCCCCCAAATTTGCAAAGTCAT